AGGAAGAGCCAGATGCAGCCTTTAAGCAACACAACGGCTGCAACATGAATTGGTACGTGTTGGGCCTGATTTTGGCTAACCGTTAGCAAGGCCGAAATAAAATTGAAGAGAGATATCGAGCTCGATAGGATCAAGATAGTCGGCCCAATATCAAAAGAGAAGTGCGACCAATATGGTCAAACATGCCTTCCACGACATTAGGGGATGGTTGAGACGATCACGGAGGAGAGGCAGCTACAAGAGGAAGAGAGAAACCTTAGAGATGAAATAAACGTGAAAAAACCTAGAGACTTAGCATCCTAAACAGAAACCTCGACCTTGAGCCTTTACCCTCTCTTTCTCGTTACTCTTTACTAATTTCTTATTCGATAATCGTTGCAACTCAATCTTCTTTCATCGTTGTGTTCAATCAATCCTAATCAATAAATTTATTTTTGTCAACGAAAACCTGATTACATCGTTGTGTTCTGAGGATATCGTTGTCCATTTTATTTTCTTCCCAAATCTTTATCAAACAACCACTACCAAATTCTTAGTGTGGGTTTCAGGATCCACATTTTGGCATCTCCTGTGGGGAAGAGAAATGAAAAAAATCCTTGCTAAGAATCCGATCTAAGGTTCCTATGCACGATCATGGATCCCACGTGAATTCCATCCGATTGGGCCTAACCAAGAACAATCGACGTCAATCTGCCCGGATCCGGACTCCTCTTGCAAGTCTGGAAGGTAAACGCTTGTGTGCTTATGATTCTATTCTCTCTCTCCTTTCGGCATCCATACGTATAAAAGATTGAGATGATTTCCTGAGATGCATAGGTGTAGGTACATTACCAATGACTCCACTATTCTAATTCAAGGGAATGATCAGACTATGTGGAAGCGAGGGATATGTACATTACCAATGACCCCATTATTTGCCTACACCTTGTCAAAAGATGATATACCGTGATTTTGAGCTACTTTTAGTCATGATATATTGATTTTTTTATAACTATTTATTATATCATAGAAGCTTTTAACCATATTTATAGGTTCAGGAGTATTTTGGAAGAAAGTGATATCTTTTGAGCATTTTAGAGAGAATTGGAGAAATCACTCGATTTCGGAATCGACCAAGACGACGAGGTCGACACCGAGTGATTACTTCGATCGATATGCACTCTGCATAATCGATCGATGCCAAAGGCACGGAAGACCAATTCGCGAGACAGCTATCTTGGAGTATAAACTTCACCAAATTAAAATTTTACCCCTCATGAGTTTTAATATAAGTTTATATACTCTTCCAAAGTGTTAGAGGAAAAGAGAGATTTTTGTATTCTTTTCACAGCAAAAGGTTTTTAGGATTTATAGTTTGGGAGAGAAGATCAACAGAGAGATTTTTCATTGGAACTCCATCGATTGATATCTATCTATAATTATGTTGTTTTATTATTTTGCTTGTGTTATGATTTGCTTAGCTATGTATGAGTAATTCACTTGTTAGAATTAGGGTTTAAATAGGTTAGTAGGATTAGCCCCAACTATAGGATCGATTGTTGTGGTATTCATTGATAGAATGTTCTTAATGCTTATGTTCTAGACTTGCTAACTAGAAACCAGAATCTTGGATTGTTAGGTTGCTTAAGCACCCTTAGATAACTCTGATAATCTTGAATACATCCTGATTAAGCTAGAATTTTTACTAAAGATAAAGCGAACACTTGACCTAGGGGATCCATAGTGAGCGTAGATTAACTCGCGTATAACGCTTGACTAGCCGCATAGATCGATATTCCCATTGAAAATCGATCGACGTCGTGTAAAGTGTATCGATCCACGCTGTCATTGATCAGACATTCTTGTTTAGGTTAATAACAATCTAGTCAATAGACTTATTTATTAAGCGAATGTTTAGTAAATTTGTTATTAAGACATTTAAGCTCTTTAATACCATGCAAACAATTACTTAGCACCTATAGGATTATAATCTCCAACACCTGAATAAAAGCCCTAAGTCTAACACCTTTCAATTTAAGTTAAAAACCCTCACTCCCTTCTGTCGTGTAATTGTCTTGCTCAATCAGAATATTTATTGTTTCTTGTTTACTGTGATTGTACATTTAACATTTACCTAGTGTTATTGCTTGATTAGATTTTAGTGGTTCCTTAGCTCCTTGTGGATTCGATTTCTAAGTACTACAACAGATCTCTTATTTGAGAGAGTAAGTGCTTCTTAGGGTAATTTGCGCACGTATCCAAAGAAAAAAGAAAAAATAGAAAGAGAAAGTCTATTGAAATAAAACCAATAAGGTGAACATTGTTCATTGGAATTGAGTTAAAGGATTCAGAGAAGAGGGAAACGTGAGAAGAAAGGGATCAAAGAAGACTACATGTGTGTTCAGATACTTGTTGGGATAAGAATCTACATATCCTTTGATCGATACTCCCAAGGTAAAGCATGCACTTTTATTTTTATGCAAGAAATGAAGTCAGTAAAGGGGTGAGTCAAGCTAGTATTTGCTAAGTTATTGGTAGAATGGATTTGATTGTTAAGCTAGGATAAGGTATATAAATTTTCTTTGTAATTGGCATAGTAGGATGTGGTTGCAGCGTAGTAGGGGTGATAGTAATACTATAGACATTCTGTGAGTTTCCGCGTTTCAAAACCTCTTTCACATGCTACCTTTGTTTTTACTTGAAGACAAACAACATGTTAAGTCTGGGGGAGTTGTTATACCTTATTATTTACCAGCTTTAGACCATATTATGGACTCCATTTAAAGTTTATTATGTGTGTTTAGGCTATTTTTAGAGTATTTATAGGTCAATATAAATTTTGGATTTATGTGGAGTACATGGTGCGTTTTGGATGAAGAAACCCGGAGCTAACAAGAATCAGCTAAATCAAAGTCGACATATGAGATCGACATTGATCGACAGAGACACACTGGTGTCGATCGATGGTCGCGGCGCACAACCCGACTTTGTTCAGAACCGATTTAAATCCCCAAGTTTACACATAATTACAAGATTTCCCTTGACAAATTTTTACCTAGTTTATAAGGGTTTCTGCCATTGTTTGGCGGATAACGACGCTTTTTTTTTCCACAGTTTCTTATTGTTTTAGGGAGAAGATCAAAACTTCCTCCATAGCTTTGTATTGGAACCCCAGTTTATTAGCTATGCATTATATTCATCTCTTTGTTCTTGATTGCTTGATAATGTCTGAGTAGTTTCATCTTATTAGATTTAGGGTTCTATGTGGTATTTTGATGGATTAGCCCAAAACTAGGATTGCTAGAAGAATTGATATCTATTGATTAGAGTATTCTTAATGCTTGTGTTCTAGAGTAGCTAACTAGAATCCTCAACTTAGGACATTTACAACTACGATAGTAGGTTCTGTGCCTGGACCATATTCTGATTGAGTTAGGATTGTTAGATACATGCGACGTCTAGTTGAACAAACTTAATGGATTATCAACTCGCCATAGCCGTTGATCGATATTGGTGAACTACTAGCGATCGACAGTCATATCTGTAGGCGATTGATTTCTTGTGTATCAGCTTTCCTTGCACCCTACCTATTATAATCTACGTGCATAAACCCTATATTTTAGCTATTTTCCATATTTGCATTAACTTGAAATCAACTTATTTCCTTTTAACTTAAACCTGGAAACATATATAATAATATCACCTAGCTTAACCATTAGGATCATACAAATCTGTTGTATGTCTTTTCTCTCTGTGGATTCGATCCCTAAGTACTTCAATTTATCTCTCTTGGCAAGAGTAGTTATAGTTGATTTTCATATGGTAATTTGATAAAGTGGATTAGGAATTATAAGACCCTGAAAGGCCGCCCTATCAGGGATACATAGGCGAGATGCGAAAGAGGACTTATAGATACAGCAAACTTATCATTTAGAGAAATAGGCAACTATATGTTTTTTGTTATCAAGCTGTGACTCAATTAGGTTTTTGCATTCTTAGGTTGCTAGAACTAGAGAACTCGCCGACAGTTCTTGTGGCCAAGACTCTTACCTTATGGTACACGCTCTTACGCATATTCAGAATAAGAACTTCTTTTACTCTCGTTTCAATTCATATTTTTTGTTTGTTTAATTCGTGTTCTGATTGTTTGGCGTGTGGTTTAGCGGATATTCGAGACCTCTGAAAAATTTAGGTTTTCTTAGCTTTCCTCAAACGGAAATTGATGGAGTGAACTCCAGTTCCCACATGCATTATTCTCGACATGCTTGGTTTTCTATGTTTTGGACTCAATTACTAGAGGAACATCTTTTTTTTTTGGTTTTCTTGAAAATTAGGTGTTTCGTCCGCGTATGCGGGCATATACATTTATAATTACTTATTAATACATGGATTACTAATCAAAAAACTATAATGACAAAATTATTATATATGATTCATTTGAAATTTTTTACTTATTATATTATTAAAAAAATATGTATACCTTTTATTCTTATGTAGAAATAAATCTTAAATCACTCAATATTCTCTCTTCGATTATATAAAATTAAGAATCTTACTTGATTAATATTTAATTATGTGTTTGCTTTTTATTTAATTTTAACCTTTATTAAAATGTTTTTTGAGATAACAACAATATATATATATATATATATATAATCTTTATTTTAAAATATATTTATAAATTTAATCATTTATCTAATCAAAAAATTTTAATTCATTTTTATTGTGCTAGTTTATATATTTTATTTATTAAGAATAATATCGACTTTAACCATTTTAATTTTCAAAGTGAGAGTTCGAATGCGAAAAAAAACACACTGCAAATAATAGGATAGAAGGCTTCAAAAATTTTGAATTATATGTTTTCAAATTCGAATTTCAAAAAATCAAATTTTATCAAATTTCGAATTAAGAAAATAATATTAAAATTTTCTTAATAATTAAATAATTACTTTAATATTTATGCATATGGCATCATAAATTCATAATACTATTAAATATGTTCACATAAATCTTATCTTTTGAGTTTTGAGCACAAGGAAAAGATTTCAATAAGGAAAAGATTTCAATAAGGAAACGAAACTTACTTCTTCCCCAAGTTAAGTAAGATCAAGAAGACATGTGTCAGATAAGACCGCCAAAAACAGCCCTTACATAAAAATCCCTTTTTTATATTGCACTTTCTAAATGCAGAAAAAATCTCATTTGGCCACATTTTCCTCAGACAAAGCTAAAAAGGGTGAGATAGTTTTTTCTTCAGAGAGAGAGAGAGATCTTTAAAAGGTCTTTTTAAGTCTCTGTTCTGAGAAATGCCAATCGAGTTTCATAAACTTCCTCTTTCTTTCATATCATATGAAGAAGCTCTGCTTGAGGGAATGAGCCATTACACGGCACATCAAGAAGAAGATCCTGATCAGAGTTATCATTATCTTCATAGCTACACACCATCGATCCACCATAGCTCATTTGGTTAAAGGAAGAGACACTGTTCTCTATAGTCTCTTTGGTTTCATTGTGTATTGATCTAATCTTCATCACTTCTTTGGGGCTCTTCATCACAACCCTTTTCTCTAGTCAATGCAAAACTCAAACTAATCAGGAAACAGACAGATTTTTTTTGCAGAATGATATGTATATTGACATGATTCAACAATTTTGAATTGACCTGAGAAGTTTTGGTTTAAGTTTTCACAAGGTCTTTCAATGGTTACTTGACTATCAGTATCCGATGGGTTCGGATTTGAGACCATTAATGTTGTAGTAACAGACTCTTCAATCCCTTTTCTCTGTTCCTGAAGCAAAGATCTAGTTGAACAAAGCCGCAAGCCTAGAAACTATAAGTTTCAAGAAGAGTATATGACGTTAACCTTGAGCATCTGATAGCTTTCCAACAAACTGGATTTGTCAGGATCGGATAAAGCAAGCTTTGCAAGTGTCTTAAACTCTTCAAGTTTTGATCCAGAGGAAGAAGATGATGATGATGATAATGTCCCAAATACACCATCTGCAACTAGTTGCTGAAACAAGGAGAAGTTTTCTTTGAACTGTGAACTCTCAAACATGCTCATGAGGCTGGCAAAAGTGAAAAACAGAAAATTGTAAGAACTCGAAGTAGCCAATGAAACAAATCTGTAAAGAGTGAAGTTGCATTGAGTTTGAAACCTATCAGGAAGATCAACTTCAGAAAGTAATTTCATAAGTTTTTGCTGCTCTTCCTCTGTGAATTTTCCTATGAACTCATCAAAGTTGAAAACATCCTGCAGAATAAAACATTCAAATCAATATTTTAAGAAAACAAAAATTATTGAGAGTTGCAAATGAATTTTACCTTCAAATCTATATTACAGAGTGGTAAATTATGTCTTCCCAAGACTTGAGACTTGGTCCTGCAACCAAAAACATCATTTACCACTTGCTTAAATCAGATTCTCCCAAACCAATCACATGTTATTTTTTACCTCTTGAGTTGCTCCTGCTTTATAGCTTTTCCACCAGAGTTTTGAGACTGTATTGATGAGGACTTGCTGCTCTCAACCAAGAGCGAGCTAGCTTCAGACTCCTCATGAGGATCTCTCAAAAGAACACTCCCATGTCCTATCACCATCGGTGACTCATTCTCGAAAAGCAAGTCTTCCTCTGAAGTACCAGAGAGACAAGAAGACTGCTGTTCTTGTAAAATACTATAGAGATCCTTTGTGAGCTTCTCAACAGAAGAAGGTGCCTTCGGACGCCCCACACAAGTCCTCTTCTTACAAGCAAAACTCGTTTCCCACGCGTTAGACTGATCACAGCTCTCTGAGTTGGACACAACAGACCCTGAACTCGATCTATTGTTGCTAACTTCTTCTTCAAATGCCCTTTTCTTGAAACCGTTACTGAACTCCAAGTTGGTTCTCTTAACTGTGAAGTTTTCTTGATATGGTTTCCTCTTGGGAATCTTTTTGTTCATAGACATTCCATTAATCATCATCATCTTTTGGCCTCTACGTTCTTCAATCTCAACATCATCACCTTCAGCACGAGCATGAAGTGGTGTGTAGTTTACTAGTGATCCCTTCGTTCTCCATCTGGAACCACACGCATTGCACAGAACCGGCTTCTCTGGTGGCCCGTTTCGCCATAGAGGTGTGCCTATTTACAACATTGTTCCAATGATTAAACGATCATAGACAAGAAAACATATCAAGCATTTCATTCTATCAGGTAAGGCCTCATAAGCAGGAAGAAACATTGATCTCTCAAGTCTGACTTCTGATTCAACTTAACATAACATTCAAAGCTCAATAAAGAGTGTGATCAGAGCAGCTGCAAATATCACAACCAAATAATTTTATATAATTCATTGTTTGTATTATCAATTGAAAGCACTTCTTCAATAATTCTCTTTGATCAAACAACTCAAAGGCTGAACTTTTATTCCCAGAAATCAAATCTGGAACTGGAGAAAACAAGAACTCACTTGTAACTCCACAGTGACAGCAAGGCCCTTGCTTCCCCATCTTTTTCAAAATTTATTATAAAGAGATAGATAGCTTATCAAGAATATCAGAAAAGTATAGAGACTCTGAACAATTCTAATATTAGATATAGCTTATTAATATTTTCTTCAGTATTAGCTTCTATGGGTATTGAGAAGCTTCACTGCGAAGAAGAACCCAGATACTGAAAAGTCTTCTTTTTAGAAAATTCGTACAAGAACAGCCCAGAAAAAGTTTAGAAAATTGAAACAAGAGAAGAGAAGAATTCTCTTTTTTGGGTTCCCTTAAGCTAATCAGTCTCTAATACACAATCCAATAGAAAAGCCAAGAGAGAGAGAGAGGAATCAAACAAATGGCTGTGAAAATGGGAAAGAGAGAGATAAAGTGGTGAAGGCTAGAGAAAGGAAGTGGTGAAGGCTATGTTAAAAATGGCTCTTTTTGTATAATGAAGTTAATGTTTCAGCTTCCTCTTCTCTTCACTTTGCTTTTTATATTTTTAAAAACTTTAATGTATATTCGGACTTTACTTACAGATTTTTAATTACTTTACTTCTTTCTTTTTGCTAAAAATATTCAAAAGGACATTTCCATTTGATTTTCAGTGTGTGTAAATGGTTAAGTAGGAGGATTTGGTTCAATTATACAATTGAATTAACTTATTTTAGTTATACTGTAGTTGTAGTAGATATTAACCAAAGACCATGAACAGGATATATACATATGTGACTTTTTATAAGAATCAGTGAATTGTTCACTGCTAAAGTAGTAATTAATAAATTTAATGACATACAAATTTTAACTAATTTTAGTTTTTGGTTCGAATATGTTTATCTGCGTCTAAAACGCACCAAACGCTATGAACGGAATAAATATTGATGCTTGTCGTTTGAAAATAAAAATAAAATAACTGATATAAACTCAAGTATTCATAGAGAAACCTCTAATGGTAAGAAAGTGACGAAGGGGGATGGAGGAAAATATCATTGCTTGTTGGCCTCATGGTTCCTGCTTGTTGACTATAGACTTTTCTTCTTACTTGTTTTTCTTTTGATTCCAACGAAGATAATTAATATTTATTAATGACAACAGTTATAATAGTCCTAAGAAAAAAATGCGATATAATTAAATATTGCTAAGATTGTGGAACCGTATATTATTATACTAAATAAAATATTCACTCTGTTTTAGTTTTATACATATATTAAGAAAAATATAAATTTTGATTACTAATGCATCATTTATTATAGATAACAATTCACTATAGTTTTTAACCAACATGATTTTAAAAAACAAAATTAATTTTTTTAGAATCTACAACTTTTTTCATTAAATTATACATTTAAAATATAAAAATATAAATCTTTTTAAAATAAATATTTTTTTAAAAATATTAATCTTTTTGAAACGGAAGAAATATTAATTACTGAGATTACAGTTCTCTCTTATTAAAATTTCGTATTCTAAGAAAGTTTACAATTGGATATCTATATAGGAGTATTCAATTCAGATTTTGATTCTTTTTTTTTTGTAGTTCAGTTTATAAAAATAATAGTTACCATATTAGCTATTTTAGTTTGGTTGGGTTTATATATTGTCGATTTCGATTTATTCGGGTTTTACCAAGAAATATAAATATATTTATCTTTTATAATTGTTTGTACTTTTTATTTTATATGATTAGATATCAAAACATAATAAGTTAATAGTAATAATAATTTTTATAGACTATAAATAAGAATAAAGCACACATATTTAAAAGTTATATTTTATTTAGTTTGATAAAGATGGAAAAATAAATTCTAATTTAAATCAAAATATTAAATAATTAAAGTCAATCAATAAGATAAATTATGTATATATTATTAATTATATTATATAATTTACTATTAGTATATTTTAATTAATCAAGTTATATACTAAACCATGTCTATATACTACAATATTTTAAAAAGTAACATCTATTCCACTACAAGAAAACAATTTTTTTACTAGGGCTATATTTGTGGTTAATTCGTCGTAAAGGTCCTATTATGACGAATTAATTAGGAAACCCGTTTCGTTATTAATCGCCCGTCGTAATGCACTTTTCGACGTAAAGTCCACGTAACGTTAGAAGGAACACTTGTCGTTGTAAAAGAGAAGTAGAATACTTCGTCGTAACCTTGACGTTAACCCACCACGTAAAGTCCTCGTTCCCTTTCGACGTAATTGCCACGTAAATGTTTGATATTAAGTCCATGTATATGTACGAGTAGATTACTAGTAGAACATGTAAAGTCGTTATAAATATTACAACGAACTTACTTGTAATTCGATGTTAAGTCGTTGTAAAGTTTACAACGAAATTACTTGGGTGTGTATATATAATTTATAATTTTTAAAAAGTTTTATTTATTTTTATTTATAAATTTCGTAATTTAAAATATAAAACCAAAAATTTTAAAAGTAAAATTTTTTAAAAACATTATATTAAAAAGTCATAAAATAATATATAAATTTATAATACAAAAGCAAAAAAACAAAAAACAAACTACGGCATGTTGGTGCGGAGGTACTCGTCGGGGCGGCTGAGTTCCGGGCCGGGTCGATCGGTTGACCCGGGAGGATGTCGCTGCATTCCGAGAGCTGCTCGTCTTTCATTTAGCGCTCTCTGCATGAGCGGATTATCGGTGGCCATGATGTCCAACAAATCCTTAAGTGAGTCCAAACGCTCCTGCTGGGACCGCATCTGAGACCGCATCTGAGAAGTTTTCTCATCCCGTCGCGAAGTGTACGAAGAAGTTGCCCTTGGAAATCGTCCCTTCTTTCTAGGAGCCACCTTGTTTCAAAAAAATGTTATAATTAATATTGAAAAATTAATTAATAAAATAGAATTAATATAAACAAATTAAAATTTATTCAAAAATTTTACCTCTTCAAAAATCCGGTCGACTTCTTATGTAGTCAATGTGACGGGTGACCCATCGGGAGCCTGCTGGGTTAGTTGTGTCTGCCGCTCCTCAACCCGAGAAACTACATCGTTATAGAGTCTCTCGGAACGTGGATCCACAAAATCTCCATCTGGTGTGGCGTGAGTCATCCTGAATAGCTCAGTCAGAGATTGCATGACTCCGGTCTTCTCGGGCTACAAACAAAATAAAAGAGTTAATTTTTTTAATTACTTAATTAGCAAATAATTTAAAAAATAAATATTAAAAATAAAACTTACAACATCTAGACGAATCCCAACGTGAGGCTTTTGGCTGTATCTATGAAGCATGGGGTCATTGCCGTACTTATCCTTTGTTCTTCGGGAAGAAGAGCACGAGTTAGACTTTTTGACGGAGGCAGGTAGGCTCCAATGGCGGATGAGACCAATCCATACAAATTTGGAGATCTCCTTGGGCTTCCCTTCATAACGGTAGAGTTCCCATTTGTCCTATTAATCCGAGACGGTGTTGCAAAGATGAGTCTTGGCTTTTGCTACAAAAGCTTCCTTCACCTCCTCGTTGATCGATAATAGCAAATGCCACTTTTGCTGAAACCAAAAAAGATAATTTTAAAATATTAAAAAATAATATTAAAATAAATATTGAATATTATAAACATATTTACCGCAAACATTTTAAACCACGTTATCTTCACGTGGTTTGGAGTCATACTCTAATTCGGATGGGCCTCGAGAAAATACCCCTTCATCGTGTATGAAACACTCCGGCTAACGCGGTTGTTTGCTCCAAACCTGGAAAATTATGTAAATTATGAATTTTATAAATAAAAAATTGAGAATTAAAAAAAAAACCCTTACCAATAAGTACCCCGCAGACGATCAGGGTCCAGAATATCTAAACCTTAACTAAACTAAAAAAAAAAAGAAGAGAGAGAAGGTTACCTTGAGAGGGAGAGGAGTTTGGGATGATTGAACGAGGCGAACAGCCTTGTATGCAAGTGTGCTTATATAGATAATTGCCTTCCTCGTAAGTTCATCGTAAACTGACAACCTCGTAAGTTCGTCGTAAACTGACAAGGCTTTTACCAGGCTCGTGTTTCTATTACGACGAAGTTACCAGGCCCGTGTTTTTCCCATTACGACGAAGTTACCAGGTCCGTGTTTTTTCCATTACGACGAAGTTACCAGGCCCGTGTTTTCCATTACGACGAATTAACTAGGAACTATATGAAACCCCGAAAATCAAATCCCTAAACCCCAAAGTTACTTCTTCTTCTCTTCTTATTATTCTTCTTTTTCTTCTAATCTTCTTCTTCTAAATTTTTCTAAACCCTAAACTTATTATATTAAACAACATTTGTTGAACTTATTATATTAAACAACAACATTTGATACATATTTTACAACATTTGGTACATATTTTACATCATTCGGAATCATTCGAGTTCTCATCAACATCAGGAGAATCATCATCGCTTATACCTTCGAACTCGTCTTCACGAGTTTCATCCATCACAGCGTCGGGAAGATCTTCACGAGTTCTCATTAAAGGATCAATAAGAAAGATTTCATCAGTTTCTTGATCAGGTACTTCTACTTCAGTGACACACGCTTCTTCTTGCAAGGGTGGTTATTCTCCAGCAATTACTCATCCACGAGATGTAATCTTGATAACAGCTAACCAAGTTGTTCCTGAACTCCTAAGGCGAGGGTATGGAATGAAGCTAACTTACTCGGCTTGAGAAGCTAAGATGAAAGGTTCGAATTTGTTGTATCTTCTTGAAGAGTTGACAGCCACAACACCGAATTTATTAAACCGAACACCCTTGTTCACAACAGGGTCAAACCACTCACATTTGAAGAGGACACATCTAAGCTTCAATAATCCCGCAAATTCCACTTCAATAATCTCCTGCAAAATTCCATAAAAGTTTGTTTCGCCTTTCACACATATTCCGTAGTTACTTGTTGCCTGACGACTCCCATAGTCGTATGTATGAAACGTAAAACCGCGTGTAAAATACATATGTGATGTGGTGACTTTCGCGACTGGACCTCGGACCAAATCGTGAAACCATGGGGGGGGGGTAATATGGATCATCAGCTTCAACCTACAAAAATTAGTATGTTAACAATTTATATTAGCATTACTTACGTAATGTTTGAGGTATATATATTACCTGAGATTTTAACCACGTGACATAGTGTCGATCTTTTCGTCGGTCCACTTCAGTTGCAGATACTTCAGGTATTTCTGCTTCAACTTGCGTTACAGATACTTCAGGTATTTCTGCTTCAACTTGCGTTACAAAGGAACTGCAAATTAAATGAATGTATTCACATCAATATATATAACATCGCACTTCATATAATTTAAATTCACATAACTATTTACCTTTCAAATGACCGTGTCACTGAATGCTCGCAGTTGAGCAGAATATAAGTGTGAGCACTATGCTTATCCTCGTCACTAGACCACCATATTTCTCGCAATCTACCACTAAATAGTCCAATTTGGCAGAAAATATCAGGAACATTGCTTATTTGATATGTGGGGATGACTCCACCATCATCATATCTTCTAGGAACTCTTTTTCTTGTACGTACTGTTGGTGCAAAGTAGTATGATGTGAAGTGAGATGTTTCCGCTGTCAAACTCCCAGCAATTATTGAACCTTCCACCTTTGCAAGATTTTTTGCTTTCCCCTTCAAATGTTTCATGGCGCACTCATACGGATACATCCATCCATGGTGAACAGGACCACGAAGCAATTCCTCGTATGCGAGGTGAACAACAAGATGTTTCATGACGTCAAAAAATGCTGGAGGCAAAATTTTCTCTAAGTTGCACAATATGATCGGAATGTTCTCATGAAGTTGCTCGATAACTTCTTCCCTGAATGTACGTGTACTTAGGTCTCTGAAGAATGCTCCAATGGCTGCATATTGCATATATACTATTAACATTTCATAACATATGTATATATAATATTAACTAATCAACAATATTTACCTCCAAGTGCTTCATGTACCTTTGCTGGAAGCAACTCAGCAAAAGCGAATGGAAGTAGTTGTTGCATAAACACATGACAGTCATGAATCTTCATTCCTGGGAACTTTTGACCTTGTTCAACACATCTTGAGAGATTAGAAACATATCCATCAGGGAACTTAACTTCTGATTGAACCCAGTTAAACAAAGTTGTCTTCGCTTCTGATGACAATCGGAAGATAGAAACTGGAATGTTTCCATTACTTTTGATATGTAACTCACTTCTTGAGCAAATATCAGGTAAGTCCATCCTTGAATTTTTGCTATCATTTGTCTTTCCTGGGACGTTCAGTATTGTATTCATGATGTTGTCAAAGAAGTTCTTCTCTATATGCATAACATCGAGGTTGTGGCGTAAAAGAAGATTCTTCCAATAAGGCAACTGCGAAAATATACTCTTCTTATGCCAATTGTGACTGACCCATATCCATCGGGCATATTTCCAGGAACATGCCAGTTTCCTCCACGTGGAACAGTTTCCTGAGCTCCGTAGTAATCAATTTGCGCTAGGATCTTTTCTCCAGTGAGATATGGAGGAGGACTATCCCTTACAACTTTTTTGTACCTAAACAATGTCTTATTTCTTCGGTATGGATGGGTAAGGAGAAGAAATCTACGATGACAATCAAACCAACAACTCTTCCTACCATTCTTCAATTGAAAAGCATCTGTTGATCGAAGACAATGTGGACAAGATAACCTTCCATGTGTAGTCCAACCAGAAAGCATACCATAAGCAGGAAAATCACTTATCGTCCAAAGCAGAACTGCTCGCATCGTAAAATTATTTTTCAAGGAACAATCATACGTCCTCACCCCTTCTGACCACAAGTTCTTCAGCTCTTGTATCATCGGTTGAAGAAAAACATCTAGCGACCGCTTTGGATGCTTCGGACCATGGATTAATATGGTCAAGAATAGAAATTCTTGTTCCATGCACATCTCTGGAGGCAGGTTGTACGGCGTAAGAATGACTGGCCACAAAGTGTATTGTCTCCCAGACATTCCAAATGGACTAAAACCGTCTGTGCATAATCCAAGATAGACATTTCTAATATTTCTTGCAAAATCTGGGTGTACCTTGTTGAAATGTTTCCAAGCTTTTGCATCTGATGGATGAGCAATCTCGCCATCCCGCTAGACATGTTCAGCATGCCACCTCATCGCTGCGGCAGTCCTCTCAGATTGATATAATCTTTTCAGCCTATCTGTAATTGGTAAGTACCACATCCTTTGGTATGGTACCTTATCCCTTCCACGTCCTTGCGGTTTGAATCATGACTTCTTGCAGAATCGACACTCTTCTAGCTTCTCATCATCTCTCTAGTAGATCATGTAGTTGTCGATGCAAACATCTATCATCTCCGATGGCAACCCAAGACTGAAAACCAATTTTCGAATCTCGTAATAAGATTCAGCTGACATGTTGTCTTCTGGCAAATACTCTTTAAACAACTCGGCCCAAGCATTCATGCAGTTCTCAGGTAAATTATGATTCGTTTTAATATTCATCATCCTAGCTACTAGAGACAATTTAGAGTGACTTCTCTACAACCAGTGTAAATTGGTTGATTTGCAGCATCTAGCATTTCATAAAACCTTTTGCATCCAAATTAGGTTCTTCAACATGAACAGTTTCATCTGCTATTGTTGTAGTAGTTTCTAAAAATGCATCAATATGTTGTGAACCCTGTCATGATTTACCATCTGTTCAACATCCTGATTATTATTGACATTCTGAAAATTACTATTACTACTACTAGCTTCATTTCCTCCATAACCCTTTCCATGTTGAAACCAAATATAATATTCTGGTGTAAAACCACTGTGTACTAAATGTTTCCAGACAGTTTCAGTATGAGCAAATTTTGAATTCTTGCATTTCTGACAAGGACAGAACATCTTACCACTTTCATGCGTGAGCGGTGTACAAGCTGCCTGGTTCATGAACGTCTCAAGCCCGCTAAGAAATGCATTCGTCACTCTACCGTTAGAATCTTTATGTGTATACATCCAACTCCGCAATTCGAAAATATTTCATCCATCCGACATTTTTTGAGTTGTTTTTGTTTTTTTTTTGTGTGGTGGTATGAAATGAGAAATGAGAAATGCTCATATATATAGGAAATCCACGAAAATTGGTAGGTGAAAGTTTACAACGTATTTACAAGGAATATATTTACAAGGATATTACATGTCTCTAACATATAGGTTACAACGTGTTTACAACGACTTCAGTTACACATTAAAGTCGTGTTCACCTACCATTTTTCATCGTAATGCACTAATAACATTACGACGACAGTTAAAAAAAATTTTGGATAAATTTTTTTCTTGATTACTTAAACAAAAAAGGCGAAGACAGACACCAGAACAATTCTTATAAACTCCGAGTAGCTATTCATCGATTTCTCAAAGAAAAGATACGTAAAGCTGATAAGAACTGTTCTGGGAGACTGTTCACGCCTTTTACTTTCTTGGAAATTCGATACATAAGGTATCGAATTATTTTTTTTGTTTTTTTTGTTTTTGTTTGTGGTGTTTTTAGAAGTGATTAGGAATGACATATATATAGGAAATTTTTGAGCTTGGTTGGTAAAGATTTAACAACAAATTTACAAGGAAAATTTTTACTAAGATTTTACAAGTTGTTTGTACATGCTTTACAACCATGTTACAACGAATATATTTACTTAACAACACGTTTTTATTTACCATAAACGGTTAAACTTTACTCGTAATGTATTTGTAATTTTACTTCTTCTTTACAACGAATATTTTTTTCCTAGTACCTTCGTCGTAAATTTACTTATAGTTTACGATGAATGAGTTTCATTGTAACGTTACTAGTTCATTACGACGAAATTGTATTTCCTCGTAATCTACTTGTTACGTACTCATAATATTACGAGGAAATATATTCCTCTTAATTCTTCCTTGTTAAAGGCATGTTTTCTTGTAGTGTTCGATATTATTGAATCCATACCATTTTATCTATTTTGGTTCTATTTTAATTAGTTCAATTTTATCGGATTGAACGCTTCTAGATTATAAAATATATCGAAATATAATTCTGTTCATTACCAATTAAACTACAACTTCGTCTTATTTTCTCTGATTTACATTATGTCAATATATTTTAGTTGATGTTTTGTCACGAATCAACTTTTTCTTAATAAAATGTCATCTCCAAGTGTCACGAATCACAGCGTCTCTTCCGGCATAAATCCGCTTCAGGGTGACGGAGGGATAGGGGAGATCATTGTCTTTCCTTCATACACCGTGGTTCATACACTGGGATCGATCTTTGTCGATTCCTTTCCCAGTACGGCATCCGATCTCTGGTTTTGTTTCTGCTTGTCCGGCCACCGTTACTACAGCAGACTTCTCTTTGTCGTTCTTTCGAACTCTGAAACCATCGCTACCTTTGGTATTCTTCGATACCACGGGTCCCTGATCTCTTCCAGAGATTGTTTCTATTAACGTCTGTTGGAAGATAGATCACAGACGGGAGATAGCTTACGTTCCTTATTCTGATATGGTTCGCTTAAACTCTGCTCATACGGGAGAGATGAGAGACAAACATATCAACTGTGACATTGATGATGATGATGCGCCCATACAACTCACAGAACAAGATACCTCTGTCACTATTCGGGACTATAAGCTCTCACTCATAGGCAAAATTCTAAATCGCAAGAAGCAAACTGTGGAAAAATTGATCCAAACCATGCCCGGGCAGTGGAAGATGCAGGATAAGATCACTGCCAATGACTTAGGCAACGGAAAGTTTCTTTTGAACTTTACTAATGAGCAAGATCTCAACTTTGTCCTAGCTCAAGGGCCATTCCACTTTAACTTTTGTATGTTTGTGCTTGTCCGTTGGGAACCGGTGGTCCATGATGACTACCCTTGGGTTATCCCTTTCTGGGTGGAGGTCACTGGCATTCCTCTTCACCTATGGACGATTACAAACCTTCGAAACATTGGAAACAGGCTTGGACATGTAGACACAGTTGATCTCTCTGCAGGCCGCATGCTCATCGACATAGATTCTAGGAGGCCACTTACTTTCACCAGGAAAGTTGCGTCACCGGGAGGAGATGAAGTTTCGATACAGATCAATTATGAGAAATTGTTCAAGTACTGTAAAACCTGCAGAATGATGACTCATGAGTTGGCATACTGTCCACTCGATGTCCCCATTCCAAAGAATCATGGAGTCTTTACAAGAATTCATGATCCTAATGTCAAGGATAACCGGCAGTCTTCGCTGCGTGACCAAACCAATTTCGAGGACAATGGAAGAAGATTAAAGGAGAGACTGGATCATGGAACAATCGGCTATCACAGAAATTCCCCGCCCTCTCAGACACAACGACGGAGGCAAGACGCGCGATCTGAGAATCGAGTGACTGGTTTCATGAATGAAGCACGGGCTGTTTATCGCCATAATCAGGATGGTGCTGTGAGAAAACAACATAACTCTTGGAAAATCACCTCGCGCCCAAATCACAAGAAGTCTAGGTATGTCCCCTACGAGAAGACAGGCCCAACGCAGAGGTGGAGGGCAAGGAACAGCTCTGCTGCTGATCATGAGCCTAAGTCACGGGATGAATCTTCAGCTCAAGGTTTGACCTCCGGTGTCAACGATGGATCGTCGGCTGCTCAAGAAGAAGTGGATACGAGAAATGATAATCATTGGAGCAGTGGGAAGAGACTTTCGAGTCAAATTGTTAGTCCTGGTCAGTTTCTTCATGATGACCACGTAACTAAACGTATCACGCCGCGGTTACTTACTTACTCTCCTACGGAGAAGTTGGTACCGGTGGATGCTCAGATCATAGGAGCTTTACATGATTCTGAGGCTATGGAAACAGGCGAGGAAGGCGGAGAGGTGGCGGTTGAGGATGATGAGGGTGGTGATTTGCTAGGTGAAGAACTACTGGAGATGGAGGCAAGCCATATACAGAGCGCGAGAGAAGATAGAGGACGGGAAGATATGACAACACGCGAGAAGCCTAAGCAATCATCATCGCATAGAGGAGGAGGAAGAACTCGGATTCCCATGGGGGTACAAAGCAAGAAGGGTGAATTCCTTCGTCGAGGATCACCAAGGGGTCGTAGGGCCTCATCTAAGGATTTGTCAACTGCAGTAACACAACGATCGGAATTCTCAAAGGGTTCAGACAATTCTCGTAGGAGTAATGGTGTGGAGGGGTCCAAAAACTCCTCCCGCTCTTATCAATGAGGACACTCAGTTGGAATTGTCGAGGAATAGGGAGCAACCTCACAGTTCGACGCCTTACGGAGATGTGTCAGAAGCATCGCCCAGGACTTGTGTTCCTTTCTGAAACTAAGAACAGGAGGCTGCTGTTGCAAGACATTCAGGCCGACCTAGGATTTGATCGATTATTTACCGTTGAGCCACTTGGTCTCAGCGGAGGTTTAGCTCTTTTTTATAATGATGATTTTCAAGTTAATGTTTTATTTTCGAATAACAGAATGATTGACATTGAGGCAGTCATTGATGGAATAAAAGTCTTTATGACGTTTGTTTATGGGGATCCTGTTGTAGATCGGAGAGAATTAGTATGGGAGCGCCTTACGCGTTTCTCAACAACAAGAAATGGCCCTTGGTTTATGATCGGTGACTTTAATGAAATAACGTGCCATGCAGAGAAAGAGGGAGGTGTACAACGCGCAGATAGCTCTTTTTTGCCCTTTAAGCAGATGCTTAGTGACTGTGGTATGCTGGAATTTCCCTTTACCGGGAACATGCTTTCTTGGGTTGGGAGAAGGGCAGGAAATTCTACCGTTAGATGTCGCCTTGATAGGGCGGTTGGAAATGAGGATTGGCATGAGAAGTTCCCTCATACAAAAGTGCAATATATGAGATTGTGGGGATCGGATCATCGTCCGGTCTTAGCTGATATTCTCAAGAAAAAGCCACGAAGATCAAAAAATTTCAAATTTGATAAGAGATGGCTTCAAAATGAGGAGCTTAGGCAAATTATACTTGAAGGATGGAAGTCACCTGATCTTCCACCTGATGCGAGTATTACGGAACATATTGCAAGCTGCAGGCGAGCTTTATGTGATTGGAAAAGGCAACACAATCTGAATTCAGAGAAAAGTGTGGAGGAGCTTAAGGAAAAGGTAGACCGTCTATCCTCAAATGATGATGCCACCACAGAGGAGATTGCAGCTGCCTTAAAAGAACTGTCTGACGCTCTTAAGGCGGAGGAGTTATTTTGGAAACAAAAGTGTCGGGTATTCTGGCTGAGGGAAGGAGATAGGAATACTAAATTTTTCCACGCTCTCACGAAGCAGAGAAGAGCGAAGAATAAGATAACCCAACGGATAGATGCTGACGGGAATGTTGTGGAGGATGAAGAAGGACTGATAGCCATTGCTATAAGTTACTTTAGGGACCTTTTCCAGTCATCTAATCCAGAGGAGATAGAGGAAGCACTTTCCGAAGTTACTACTACAATTACGCCTGCGGATAATGAAGATCTAACACGCCCGGTCACAGAATGGGAGGTGAAGCTAGCTCTGTTTGCTATGCACCCTGAGAAGGCCTCAGGCCCGGATGGGATGACTGCACTATTCTACCAGCAGTTTTGGGACATAGTTAAGGATGACTTAACTCTTATGGTTAATCAATTCTTATTTCACGGCACGATACCAGCTGGTTTAAACGAAACAAACATATGCCTTATCCCAAAAGTAGAAAAGCCAAACCAGATGACTCAATTACGGCCGATTAGCCTATGCAATGTTTGTTACAAGATTATCTCTAAGGTCTTATGCCAGAGATTGAAAAAGGTCCTACCAGATAGGATTTCGGAAACCCAGTCGGCTTTTGTTGCAGGACGCCAGATTTCCGATAATATCATGATAGCTCAGGAGATGTTCCATGCTTTAAGAACGAAACCGTGTGGACGCACTAAGAGGATGGCTATCAAAACAGATATGAGTAAGGCCTATGATCGAATGGAATGGTCATTCATTGAGGCCACCATGCGGAAGATGGGATTTTCAGAAGTCTGGATAAGCTGGATCATGCGATGTGTCACATCGGTAAAGTACAAGGTCGTCATGAATGGACAGCCAAGAGGGAATATTGTTCCACAGAGAGGTCTACGGCAGGGCGATCCTCTGTCCCCTTTCATTTTTATTCTATGCACGGAAGCGCTCGTTAGCCTTCTAAATCACGCTGAGAGTCAGGGAAAGATAACTGGGATGCGCATCACGCGTGCGTGTCCTTCGGTATCTCACCTACTTTTTGCTGATGATAGCCTTTTCTTCTGTAAGGCGGAGCCCCGTGAGTGTGAAGAAGTAATGAAAGTGGTCAGGAGATATGGACAGGCCTCTGGGCAATGTATTAATTTCGATAAGTCCTCTTTACTCTTTGGTAAGAGAATCGGACATGAGGTCAGGCAAGAAATTAAGGATACTCTTGGGATCCAAAATGAAGCAGGAATGGGTACTTATTTAGGGATTCCAGAGGATATAAGCGGCTCAAAATGCAAGCTCTTTGCCTTCCTAAAGGACAAGCTTAGGAATAGAGTGAATGGATGGACGGGTAGGTGGCTCTCTAAAGGTGGAAAGGAAGTAATGATAAAGTCAATCCTACTCGCTCTCCCGACCTATGTTATGTCATGCTTCTTACTCCCTTTGGAGATATGTGATGCTTTGGCTAGTGCCATTGCACGATTCTGGTGGAGTTCCAACCCGCCGAAAAAAGGCATACATTGGTCAACATGGGACAAACTTTGCTTATCCAAAGAGGAAGGGGGGATTGGCTTTAGGATGATTCATGAATTTAACCTGGCTCTATTGGCAAAGCAGTTGTGGAGATTGGCTCAAAATCCAGATTCCCTGGTAGCTCGTGTTATGAGGGGTAGATATTATCGATTGAGCTCACCTTTGCGGAATCTCAATGTCAGCAGCCCATCGTACGTGTGGTCAAGCATTTCGTCGGCACGAGAGTTGTTGCTGTTAGGGATTAGACAGAAAATTCACTCAGGCTACGAAGTGAAAGTATGGGAGGACCCATGGATCCCCACAACTCCAGCGAGACCAGCGTTTCCATCGGCTCTAGTGTTACACCCGAACATGAGAGTGAGTGATCTCATCAATCAGGAAACTAAGTCCTGGGACTTGGAGAGGCTGGCGAATTATGTTAATGCAAATGACATACCTCTCATAAGGAGTATGGCTATTAGCACAACACATCGTAGAGATACGTTCTGCTGGAACTATACAAGGAGTGGACAATATACAGTCAAGTCTGGATACTGGGTGGCGCGTAACATACTGCTGAAGAAGGAAGACAACATAGTGAGTGAACCTAGCATTACAAAGCTCCAAGCACATGTTTGGAAAGCTAAAGCACCACAGAAGATGTGTCACCTTATGTGGCAGATCATAACAGGCCATGTGGCGGTTACCGATGTTTTAAATCATAGGCACATGCGATGCGATAATTTTTGCCCGCGATGTGGAGAACCGAATGAAACAATTGCACATGCAATCTTTCAATGTCCACCTGCCTTACANTTGCCCGCGATGTGGAGAACCGAATGAAACAATTGCACATGCAATCTTTCAATGTCCACCTGCCTTACAGGTCTGGGCATTATCATCCATTCCAACCAGTCCAACCTTATTCCCGGCGCAGAGCACATACGAGAACATGGATTACCTGTTTTGGAGGAAGAAGGACATGATGGAATCAGAGTTAGATAGGGACCCCTATTCGTGGCTAATTTGGTACATCTGGAAGGCTCGAAACGATAAACTGTTCCGAGGAATTGACAGGGATCCTCTTGAGTTAGCCAGGTATGCAGAAAGTGAGTGCCTTGCCTGGTTTCAAGCTAATGAGCAGGAAATGGTGGTAACGCAAGGAAACACAGGGCCAGAGGATCAGGCCATAAGCCTAGGAGACCTCTGCTTGATAGACGGTTCATGGACCTCTACGGATCAATTCTCAGGATGTGGCTGGAACTGGACGGACAGCAGAGGGACTAGCCAGTTAATGGGTATGCGAAATGTGAGTAGGGTAGAGTCGGCTTTGCACTCTGAGCTGGAAGCACTGCGGTGGGCAATGGAGAACATGCTTCAACATTCGCCATGTCAGAGCTTTGGGACGGATTGTAAGGAATTGATAACGATGCTCAGGAACCCTCATGATTGGCCTAGCTTCTCAACGGAATTGGAGAGACTCTTGACGCTGCGTGTTTGCTTTCCGGATTTGAAGTTATTCTATGTACCGCGGTCTCAAAACACTGTGGCTGATTCGTTAGCTAAGGCTGCTCGTTCTTTTTACCGTACTTTGTTGTTTGTTGGTTGTTCTATTCCGGTCTGGATTCCCAGACCACCTCAAGTTCTTTGAGTAATAGATCAGCCGTTTGATGTCAAAAAAAAAAAAAAAGAGCTGGAAAGGCAAGAAGGATAGATGAAATCAACAAGGTTAGTTCTTTCTGCTTTTAAATTTTGAAAGTGTAGATATTGATGTAAATAATTAATTGTCTTTTTTAATATAAGATAAGACTTGGTTATAAGATTAGGTTTTAAGTTATTTGAAAGTATGTGATGCCATGACGTTTGGTGAATCACATTTATAAAGATGTTCTGGATTATTTTTTTTTGTAACAAAATATGTTTTGAGTATCAAACAAAAATAAAATAAAAATGGTTTGTTGACCAAAAAAAAATGTAGACGATCATGGACACAACTCATTTCTGCACCGTTTGATTTGGTTAAAGTATTTGTAAATGATGGGTCCCACTTCTTTCGTTTCGTGAATGTGATTAGTGAACTAATTTGGGTACATTACGCAGTGTCTACGCGTGTTATACTATTCCAATTAACTATATACATATATATTTTTGGTCAAATAACTATATACATATAGATTTTAAAATTATACATGCAATCATCCATGATCAAGATCCACATAATGTTGAGGTTTGGTGAAATTATAACATGTTACGATAAGATGTGTCAATTTAATTCTTTTGTGTAGTCAATTTAATTGGTTAACAAAAATTAGGCTTTTCATTTCGTGGAAAAAGCAAATTGTAAACTGTGATTATTGTTACGTAACTCCAAACAATAATATAGTCTCAATCAAATAATAGTGTTTTA